GGCCATTGTTTTGGCCGGTAGGCCTTAATTATGGCCAGGGGGTTCCCTTCTGCTGCGTGTGTGTCTCAGGCATGTGCACGATGGTTGTTAAATGCCTTTTCTGCATCACCTCCACTTTGACAAGAAAGGAAGGGACGGAGAAGTGAGTACAGAGAGGGACCCGATGCCACCACGAAAGAAGAGCTGGGAGGAGAGCCTGTGCTTCGGACCTGGAGTCTTTGCATTGAGAACCTCCTAGACCCAGGGGGGAATTGATGTCAAGACACCCGGAGATGTCCAAGGAACTGCAAGCCCATAGCACTTGGAAAGAGACAAGGACCTTTCCCAGAGCCAACAGAGAGAGGAAGCCTTTCTTGAGCACTGGCACCCCGAATTAGGACTCGTGGATGCCTACACTGTGAAAGAATACATTTTTATTTGCCACGGCCCGCCACTTGGGCATTTATCCTAGAGCAGACCGGGGCGTGGAGACAGACTTTGTTATCGGAGGAGTGGTGTGCTGCTCTAAGAGATGCAGACCCAAGATGTAGATGCAGTTTGGGAACTGAGTAGTGGGTAGAGGCTGTTGAGTAAGCATTGGCCCGCTAACCAGAAGGTCAGTAGTTCAAACCCACTAGTGGCTTCACGGGAGGAAGAGGAGACCATGAGGATGAACAGCTTCAGAAGCCCTAGAAATTGTGGCTGGGATTTGGAATGGACTCAGTGGCAGTGAGTGAGAATTATAAAAGCCTAGCGTGCCTTGAAGAGACTGCTACTGGACTGATGGATGTCAGAGAAAATTCGAGTGAGGATTCGGAAGGAAATGAGAGCTGGAACGCCGGAGACAGTGCAGACTTCAAGAAACAGTGGCAGAGAAAGGGGGGTCGCAGAGACAGGAGACCAGGGCGAGATGGTGGGGAGGCTGAGTCACAGCGCAAGAGAGCTGAGCGCCCTTGGGCAGGAGGCTTTCTGGTGAGGCAGGTGGAACATTTTCCTAATCAGAGCCAAGGCTGGGAGGACTCAAAAGGCCTGAGGGGCCGAGAGGCCGGAGAACTAGGAAGCAGCAGCTAAAGAGACAAGGTGTTTGGGAAACAGGACTTCCTTTGTCTTAAAGGATTGAGTCAGGAACTCTGAGGTCTCAAAGTGGGGGGCTCTGGTCTCTGGAGTCTCTCCAAAGGAGGGGCCTCCGTCTTTGGGGTTTCAAAGAGTCCTATCTTCACCAGCTTAGCTCCGGGTGGGAGGCTGCCAATCAGCGTGCCAGGGGAAGTGGGCCCCATCCACTGCCCACAGCTGAGGGGAGCTGAAGAGAGCTGCTGGGGCTACAGAGGTGGGGTTCCCGCTTAGTTGGACCAGGAGGAGGGGGCCACCTGAAGCTGAGAGAGCAGAGTTGCCATCCCAGTGAGCCTGGAAAATGGAGCTGAAGGCCAAGGCCAAGGAGCCTCTGCACAAAATCCAGAGAATGTGGCCAACGCGCAGCCTCGGGGAATAGGATCTCAGAGAAGACAGGATTATTTTCAAGTCTTGAGAGCTAAGGTGAATTATCCTGCTAGGTTTTTGTGTGCTTGTTTGTTTTTCTTGTGGATGCCCATGATCTTTTTCCCCCTCCAATGGCTCCCATTTGTTTCCCATGGAAACGTCTACCTTGTGCCTGCTCCACACTGCACTCTGGAAGCACATAACTTGCATCATATGTTCTACAGGTTCATGGATGCAAAGGCATGTTACCCCAGAATATCATTTGGGGTTGATGTTGATTTAAGGCTTTGGGGATGATCCAGTGGGGTGAATGCGTTTTACATGTGGCAAGGACATGAATTTTTAGGGGCCAAAGGATGAAATATCAAAGATTAAATTGTGCCCCCCCCCCCAAATATGTATCCATGTGACTGGGCCACAATTTTCGGTGGTTTGGCAGCAGTTATGTAATGATGTGATGTGGCAGTGATGTAATGACATAATCATTCCCCGTGATGTCATCTGCTATGTAACACCCTTACTTAGGGCAGAGCCCTGAGCTACTACCATAAGGGGAGTTTCCCTGGGGCATGGCCAACATCACCTTTTCATGTGACAAAATAGAAAAGGAGAGAGAAAGGGCGGGGCCTGGCTACTACCAAGAAAGAAGAGCCAGGAGCATAGTATGCCCTTTGGATCCAAGGTCCCTGGGATGGGAACCTCCTAGACACAGGGGAAGATTGATGCCAAGCCATGTGGGGATCGCCAAGGTTGCTGAGCCCACAGACACAGAAGGAGGCAAGAACCTTCCTTCAAAGCTAAGGAAGAGAAAGGCAGGCTATCACCTTCCCAGAGGGCTGGTACCCTGAATTTGAACCTTTAGCCTCCTAAACGATGAGAAGATACACTTCTGTTCTTCAAAGCCATCCCCTTGGGGTGTATCTTTTATACCACAGCATCAGATAACTGAGATAGTGGCTATCCCATTTCATAATGAAAAACAGTTTTCATTGAAACCACACACCTGGAGGAGAGGCTGCCTGACAAAGGTGGGGAAAAGGCCCGACCTCCAAAGATGGAAGTTTGAGCTCTGAGCCCCCGAGTCCCACGTTGGCTCCCCCAACTTATTAGCCCGCACCTGTGAACAATGCGCAGTGAGTTTATTCAACCCACTCGCAAGGAGCTCGCAGGAGCCCCGCAGAAAGTGAAGGTCACGTACGTTTGCGGCAGAGCAGCTGGCCCTGCAATTCCCCTTTCCCAGGGGCCTCCCTGGCAAGTACCTTCAGCAGATCAGTAATTAAGCCCAAGCTTCCCCAGGGACGGTTCCTCTTGCAGTCTCCGCTCATCCCCGAGGCACCCCACGCAGGCGGCGCAGGCGGCGTGGTACCGTACAGAAGGAAGCTCCTGGGGGTGGCGCGGAAGACCGGCAGGGGCGCGGAAGACCGGCAGGGGCGCGGAAGACCCGCAGGGGCTCCCAGAAAGCTAGTCCAATGAGCTGACTGGAAGCAATTTTATTTTTTGAGTTCACCGATTTCCAGCCCCCTCAATCTCAAACGGGGCCTCAGTCATCTCATCAGCGGAATGGGTGACTGAAGTCACTGCGTGTGGACTTTCCTTGCCGTGTCAATCAGAGGAGGAACGTTGGGGTGGGGGTGGGGGTGGGGCGGCTCCCCAAAGGACCGAGCGAGGAAAGCAAATGCTGAGTCGCCCTCTCCGTCAAACCCTGCTCGGCAGGGTGGCTGAGTCACGCTCAGAAACGAAGTCCCTTTCCCAGCTAGCCAGGGTCATCCTGGGCAGGTGTGGTCATCCTAACGCATCTCTCTGCCATCACCCCCCAAGCAGGCTGTCCTATCTAGACATGACAGTGCTCCCACGGGGCCTCCATTTCCATCCTTACGCCCTCCCACTCCTAAGTGCACCCTCAGAACGGGCAGCTGGATACCCAGGCCAGCCCAGCCCCATGTCTGATTCTGCGTGTGCGCGCTCTCTCGCTCTCCCTCTCCCTCTCTCTCCCTCAGCCTCTCTTCAGCTTGGCTTCCTAGGACCACCGGCATCTCACTAGCAACCCACGACTAGTCCTGGCCCCTGGCTCCTTCTGCTCCGAACTCACTTGTCTAGCCACTGCCCTCATGAAACGGGCCCAGCTGACCAGGTGTCAGCTTAGCTAGAAGCCTCCTCCTCCAGGAAGCCTTCTCCCAAGGCCAGGCTGGAAAAGCCCCCGTGCGGGTGCACGCAGCCCCTGCTCTTCCCTTCCTGAGCTGCCTGCCCAAGACGGGAGGCTCCCGCTGACTCGTCATCAGTGTCAAATAAAAATGTCTCTAAGTTTGGGTCGAGAGAAGCTTGATTCAGCAAGAGAAGGGGAAAGGGGTGTCGTGGTCGTGGGAGGAGGGGCTGCTGAAACGGGGAGAGCGCTGGAACCTTCGATCCCCCGAGAGGGAGGGGAAAGGGTGTTTTTCTTTGATAAAGACTGAGACCAAACAAGAAGGAAAGACCCAGGCCCGGGGATGTGGCATAAAAGGCGACGTCATCAGATGGAGGAGGAAAGTTTTAAGCTGAGGCGAGTCTTCTCTGTGGGAGAACAAACGAAGCCAAGCCACGCGTGTTGCCTTGAATGGTCTGCCACGGGGCCGTCCTGCGTGCTATGGGGACCATGCTTCCGCGGGGCATGCTTCTCGGACACACACCCCTGGGCCTTTATGCCAGGGTCCTCTGGGTGGGTGTGAATCTGCAGCCTGTCAGCACGTGATAGAGTGCTTTCCCACTGAGCCCCCCCAGGGTCTCCATCAGCTTCCATCTTTGTGGGCTGTTTGTCTGTCCCGTGCTCCCCCTGAGGTCAGAAAAAGGTAGAACCTATGAACCGTTGGTCTACACTGAAGGGTCCTGGTAGTGGCACGGTGGTTCAAGTCCCCAGTAACTAACCTAGAGATGGGTGGTTCGAGCCCACCAGCTGCTCTGCGGGAGACGAGCGTGGCAGTCTGTCCTGATGGGGACATTGTTCGCTGGCTCTGACTCCTGTCGTGATCTCACGCACAACAGAATACAACGCCGCCTGGTCCTAGAACCTCCTCACAGTAGTTGCTCTGGGTGAGCCCATTTTTGCAGCTGTGGCGACAGACAAGATGCCTCACTGAAATGACAGTGAGCCTCAGCCATTGTCTAGGGCGGTTCTCTCTGTCCTGTGGGATCGATGGGGTCTCTGAGAGTCAGTATTGGCACCACAGCCGCAAGCTTGGCGTGGGTTCTAACTCTGCCTCTCGCAGACGCGTCCCAATGTTCATTCACACAATGGAGGGTTGGACTCCTGCTCTGCGGCCCGACTGCTCTCTTGTAGAGCAAGGCAGTGGGGTCTCAGGACTGAAGCATCAGGGGCACCTGGGAGTCGGGTACCAATGTAGTCTTTCAGGCCCCCCTCAGTCCTGCTGAGGCAGCATTCCCAGGAGTGGGTCCAGCCACCTGTGTTTAATGAGCCCTTCCTCCAGGGAATGCTGGTGCACAGCAAACTTGACTATGGATATGGGGAAAGAAAGGAATGCTGGGACTGAGGCTCGCCCTTGCCTCCCCTGCAGGTGGATTTCGAGGACGTGATTGCCGAGCCTGTGGGCACCTACAGCTTCGACGGGGTGTGGAAGGTGAGCTACACCACCTTCACCGTGTCCAAGTACTGGTGCTACCGCCTATTGTCCACGCTGCTAGGCGTGCCGCTGGCTCTGCTCTGGGGCTTCCTGTTTGCCTGCATCTCCTTCTGCCACATCTGGGCAGTGGTGCCCTGCATCAAGAGCTACCTGATCGAGATCCAGTGCATCAGCCACATCTACTCCCTCTGCATCCGCACCTTCTGCAACCCGCTCTTCACCGCCCTGGGGCAGGTCTGCAGCAGCATCAAGGTCCTGCTGCGGAAGGAGGGCTGAAGCCGGCAGGGGGCTGGGGCAGTGGGGGTGATGGGGCAGGGGAGGCGAGCTACACTGGGGCCCTGACAGGACTGTTCCCTGCTGCTCTCCTGGGAGTGTGTCCTCTTTAGGAGAGCAATGTGCACTGCAGAGGAGAGCCAGGAGGAAGAACAGTGGGCCATACTGAAGCACAGGGGCCCCACCCTCTGCCCCAGACCCTTCCCCACCACGATGCAAGGGAATCATTTGCTAAGAGGGCAGCTACTGTAAGTCTTTGTGTTCACTTGTACTGTACCAACATGAAACCAGGGTCAGCCTGTCCACGCACGCCTGGGTAAGTGCCCGGGGATGGCCGGCGTTAGGAGGTTAACTCCAATAAAGGGTTCTGAATGCACTCAGGGTCTGCTGTGTTTTGCTTGTACCCAAAACATTGGTGTGTACCCTGTGAAGCATATACTTCACATGTACGTCTTCCTGCAAAAACGTGGCTCACTGACCTGGGAAACAGAAGTGGCCACAGGTGCTTGGCCCTCCTAAGCCCACTGCCATTATGTCCATTCTGACTCACAGGGACCCAGCAGGACAGAGTAGAGCTGCCCCGGTGGGTTCCAAAAGAAAAACTCATTGCCCCTGAGTTGATGCCGACGCTCAGTGACCCTTCGGGACAGGGGAGAACTGCCCTGTAGGTTTCCGAGACAGCGACTCTTTACGGGAGTGGGAGGCCCAGTCTCTCTCCCTGCTCCTAGCCCACCTGAAGGATCAGAAAAGACTTTGCCGGGGATGGGTTCCCTAGGTTCATCGGGAGATTATTGCCCATTGGCTGCTGTGATCCGGGTCGGTCCAGGATCTCAGTGGAGGGAAGTGGCCCTGGAGTGGCCAGAGGCTGGGTGTTTCTGAGGCAGGATTTGTTCTCAAGCCTCACTGAGCCCCCTGGCACACCTGGCATGGCCACTTCATGCACCTTCAACCCTAAGACGTGCGTCGGAGCAAAGGAGGTAAAAAGGGACAGAAATTGCCTGTCCCATCTCCCCCTGCACTATCAACACCCCTCCCCTCCCACACACACTCACACAACCCTGGTGATCTCATATTCTTTAGGGTGTTTTACAAAGTGTGCTGTCCAGAATTTAGTAAAAAAAAA